ATCTTCAACTGTGGTGTAAATTTCCGACTCCTAGATGATCATGGTCGTGAGCTATTAATTAATTATTATTAATGGCATTTTCATTAATTAACTCATATCTCCGTCAAAAAGGCACATGGGCCCAAACCAACTTGGGGTTTTTCACTGCTGACTATTCCCTACATGATGAAAATAGTCTGAGTCGAAAAGCTTTTAATCACCTCGAGAGGTTCCCTCGTAAGACTAACCTCCACGACATTTTTTCACCCAAACACCATTTAGTTTACGACAGGTTCTCATTGCCTCTTTTGGTGACTTTCTGAGAATTTTGTTCGTTTGGACTCAGTTTTCTAGGTGTTTTTTCTAGAATCCTAACTTTGATTGAGTTTTTCCAAACCTCTTCTGCCCAGCACAGGTGACCAGAACAATCAAAAATACATCGTCCCCGTAATGTTTTTCAGAATTGTACTTTATTTCTCACTTTTTGGCTCATTGTCTATTGTCTGACTTTTGACACCTTCTAACAGTGTTTTATTATTAGCTGTCGTAGCTAAATGTAAAAGAAAATATCATTGTTATCATCTTCTAAAAACAATATCAAATAAATTCACCATTTCGTTGTTGATTTCGATACAAAATAATTCGCCTGTACACATATCGTATGATTGCAAAAAGGTAATAAAAGCCATTGAATGGCGGTGGTAATGGCGTTTTAATCGAGTACTCGTTAACAAGTAAAAATCGTTGGTATCGCCAAAGATTATGTGATTCTGCCTCTACTTGTTGAAGAGTCACACTATATATATGTATATAAAAACGAAACGAAGAGAATAAGTTTCTGTGGCGTAGGCAGGATTTTTTTAAGGGGATGCCTAACATTTTTTTAGTAAGGATTAGAGTAAAACACATGTCGCTCATAGCTGATGTTTTATTCTATTCTCCAGTGCAAGTTAACTTTCTAAGAGGGGGGGCTATGTCCCTTAGGCCCCTCCCTTAGCTACACCACTGATAAGTTTAATAGTGATAAAGTAGAACGCTGTCTTACTTGAATAATGCAATTAAAACATTTAACAAGAGAGCATTTGATAAAGTAACAAAAATAAGTGCCAATACCCATGCAACATCACTATAAGCATCATTGCCAGCTAGAATGAACAACATTTTGACTCTTTTCATTGCTCATTCGATATTCATATATACCAATGGGATCAACTTGACCAAATACTTTCCATATTCCATAATTTATTACATTACGTAAATATCGCCATGTCCATAATCCACTTCCGCCATTAACAACCGTAGTATTGTATAATTTTCCATCGTCCGTATAGGTCCAATTAACTTGAGCTGTTGTTGTAATGAGTGACCATGACGTAATAGAAAATCCAAATAGAAATATGAGAATAAAACAAACAAAAAACACCATATCTTTCATCTAAAATATATCATAGATTCCATTACATCATATATGATTTATTATTGATCGACTACTTACCGTATTAATTATCAGCGCCAACTTTGGACCTAATTGTTCATAAGCAGCAAACAAATGCAATGTACGAATAAACCATATGATTAAATCCAAACATAAAAATATTCTAAATACAGATAAAAAAAATATTAAATTTTGTCAACTCTATCGTATCGTCACGCGTAAATACTTTGAAGTTTGAAATAGAGCTTCGGTGACAATAAAACGTGTAATAAAACCGACGAGATAGAATATAAATGCAGCTAAATCCATTATATTCCATATTTCTTCAAAATAATCTGCTTTATTATCCATAAGTATAAACTACAAAATAAAAATAGAAATATGAAACATATTTATGTCACATGACTCACTAATACATACTTGTTGTATTTTATCTACAATTAAACTCCAAATACAAATGTGTAATAATATTTCTGTTATTGGTATTCGTAAATTTTGTATTCCCGAACGTTTTTCATTATAAATATTCAATGGAAAATAATCAACTAATAATACAAAACTGTATAATAGTAAAAATACAACGAGAAATATCTAAAAATTAACATAACATATTGTGTCATTGAAATAACATCTATAAACACATTCATACCAAATTATAATGACAGCGAACAATCGGTGCTTCGTAAAAATATCCAATTTTATCCATTAGTCGTACATGATATTGTGATTCACTATCTAGTCTAAAATTACATTGCTGTCGTTCTAATAATCTGAATTAAGGGGTAGGGGACTGTCCTTCCACTAAACATACCTTCAAAGGACAAGTGGTAGAATGTAAGGTTTCGTGCCCAAAAAATTACGCAATGAGTCATACATATTCGGAATCAGCGTCGAATTCTGAGTAAAACTGTATTCTCAGATCGAACTGATGCTTGCATACAAACAAGCACAGAAACGCTAACTAAGAAATTGTTATACTCCATACCAGAGCATTTTCAAAAAAACCTGGTCTCGGTCGCATTGAAAATCCTGCGGGATTAGGACCATCCCGCAGGGCTGGGATCGTCCCGCAGATCTCTAGGTCCCGGTCCGTAAAAGGTCTCGCGGGCCCGGCACTGGAACGGTCTCGCAGACCTCTACTGTAGGCATACGATTAAAGGTGTCCTCTACAAACCGGCCAAAGGACAAGTGGCAGAATGTAAGGTTTCGTGCCCAAAAAATTACGCAATGAGTCATACATATTCGGAATCAGCGTCGAATTCTGAGTAAAACTGTATTCTCAGATCGTTCAAATTCGCGAAAAA